TTAACGACCGCTGGGATGTACCTAAGCATGTGTAAAAATAATTGGGGAAAAACAGGATTTTTGGATGCTTGCCAAAGTTCGTTATCTGTTATTTTTCACAAAATCTAATGATGTTATATATATATAAAAAAAAAAAAATATATATATATATATATATATATATATATATATATATATATATATATATATATATATATATATATATATATATATATATATAGTGTACTTTGCATTCTGATGATTATCAAGTCAATCAGAATTATCATTTTCTATTAGGACAATATTCAGTAAAGGTGTCTCGTTTTGTTTTCTTTTTTGTTTATAAAGGTAGATTTTTCTGCCTGAAAAGTTTAATAAGGGAATTGAATCATAGAGACAACTAAACTAAACCAGATTTTTATTTATTTTGAAGAAATGGGAGAACTGGACGGCAATATCAGTACAAAATCGTTCTAGTTAGAAAGTCCTAGCATGAATACAACATGGCGGTCTAATTTTGAGAATTTTAACCCTTTAACCCCAGGTAAAAATGAAAGTTGGTAAGGGGACATTAAGTTTAACTACAGAAATGCCACTACTATCGGAGAAAAAACAAACTCCATCGATGAGCTAACGGGCACAAGAATGATTGTGATACGATGCCACCTACTACTTCATCCAGAACAGCTATGGGATGCACATACTTGCCACACTGCGGCATTGGGTTAACCCACTTACGACGGGTGCCCACATATGAGACACCCGGAAAAGTAAACATTGCTGGGCATCCTGTCAGTGCAACGCTAGATTGCAGCTCGTGCTCTGATTTTGTCCCCCGTGGCAGCAGCGCATGGGCAAGTTGCTGGACTCGTTTGTGCGCTGATTTTGAAGCCCCGGAAAATATTATTTTCGGCTTATAAATGTACCATCGCTAGTGGGTTAATATATAGTTATGCCTTGTATGAACTGAGCATTTAGTTTAAGCATATGGCTGTTAGTTTTAGAATATAGATAGTTTTAAGGTTAGGTTACAGTTCTGTTCCTGAATCTGTATCTCAGAATGAAATTTATTCCCGTAATAAATAACTAAGGGAGGGGGGGATAGGTTGTATTTCCTAATGCAAAAACATTCTCTGACCTCTTATGCAACTTCCAAACTTCTTTCCCTGTTTAGGTTATCATGATTGATGATGTCAAATGCTGTGTCCAAATGGCAGAAAAGCTTTTTCGTTTTCTTTATCGGAGTGCTTTTGCCGTGTGCTTTAAGGGGACTGTCCCTGGTGGTGGGGGAGGGTGTGTGAAAATTTGGGGGTTAAATTGGATTAGCTAGCGTATTGTGTAGGTACAAGAATGAGGAAACTACTATGTATTCATGCTAGGACTTTATAACTAGGGTGATTTTGTACTGAAATTGACATCCATATTTCTCCATTTCTTAAAAAAAAAAAAAAAAAAAAAAAAAAAAAAAAAAAGTTGTCTCTGTGGATAGATGCATTTATTAAGATTCTTAGACAGAAATATTTACTTTTATATTAAAAAAAGAACAACAAACAAAACAATACATACCTCTACAGAATATTGTCCCTATTAAAAATGAGTTAGTAATCATCACATCATAATGTACACTAAGGAAGCTTTTTATATATATATATATATATTTATAACATCAATAGATTTACTTGAAAAATAACAAACTTTGGCAAGTGTACAAAATTCCAATGACTTTTGGTACATCTCAGAAAATCAATTATCTACACAGCCTTAGTATAGGATAGATCTAGCACAAGTATTTTTTGGAGATAAATTTTTAAAAATGCGACCTATGAGATGTACTGAAGACTACAAAAAAAAGTAAAAAAATTTCAACTTTTTGGGGGGTACCCCCCCACCCCCCACTATTGTTTTGTAGTGAGATACGCCTGTACTTTCTTCGTGTTGTTTTCATTATTACTTATGCTGTTTTGAGGTTGATTTCTCATAAGAGGCCCCATGATAAGTACTGCAGAAGAAGCATAGAGCATGGGAAACCTGATATGTTCAAAATCCTGAGAACCACTTGCCACTGTTTCAAATCTTAGCTAGAAAATAACTATTTTGAAACCCTCATAAAAGAAAATGGTCATGAAAGCCAAATACAGCAATAGGGATTATCTGTACAAACATTTCTCTTGTGATATTGAAGACATAATTTGAGAGGATCTAAAAGTGAAAGAAAGATCCTTTTCATAATTTTAAGTGTCAGTAGGGGAAGAAAACGTATTGGTTTACAAGCAGCTGACTATGCGTGCATTTACCTCTTGGACCTAGATGACATTGTGGTCATGTCAAGGAAAAACTTGGGCAGTTGCCTAGGTGATGTGAATAGATATGTAACAAAAATAACCAAATTTTTTTTTTTTTACTTTTCTTTTCTTGCACTGAGCCATTTACTATAGAGAATTGATATAGAGTCTTTGCAAGGAAAATAGATAATTATCATCTGGATAAAGCAAATCAATAGACAAATATGGACATTGGAAAATGGTGATAAGGCTAAAAAAGTTTACACAAAATAACTTTTCAAAGGGGAGGCACAGAGTCTTGTCACCGCTCATGGGTGTTCTTGCACACATGGCCTACGCGCCGTACAACTTGGATGTTGGCCACTTGCGTAACCCATTGCCAGGGGTTTTCAGCTCCATGATTTCCTTCATGCAACTGGATCCAAGGGGTTAAAGGTGGGGTTGGAGTGTGGATCAGAGCAAAGTACTGAGTTTCTTAGTAGGAGTCATTGTATGTATACATCTTCCTAAACCCTTTATCGGGCAGTAGTCCATTTGGAGGGCGATAGTCAATATTTCCAGTTGGTATGAAAAGTCTGTGCGCAGACCAATCCGGGAACCTTGCCGCATGCTGCCTGTCTTGGGCAACAAAATCAAAGCACAAGCTCCAATCTAGCCTTGCACAGGTGGGATAGATGGCCATGGTCAGTATTCCGGGTGTCACATGTGACACCCACAGCAAGCAGGTTAATATATATGATTTCTAATTGAAGATTTAATGAAGTAATAGAATGGTGTGTTTGTATTCCAGATCTTTGTGTTATAGAGAGGTTTTTGTAGTAAAGAATGTGTATTTACTTGTGTATTCACATTTATTTCAATTTTTGAGAATCCTTTCCTTTGGTAGCCTTTGTTAACTAACTTGAATAGGCGAAGCTTTTGCTTAGCAGCTGACCGTTGCAAACATTGACATCTTAAAAAGATTTGATGATGGTGAATATGGAAATGTTGTCTTCCTAGGAGCTAGCACTCTTCCAGTCAAGGCTTACAGACATTACATTCCATCGATGGGAATAGTGCAAAAAAAAACTTTCTAAATGCCAACTGAGTGTCTTGTCAAGTACAGGCTGGTATTGGTCACACTATGCAGTATCCCCCTGTAAAGAACCATCATCCAAAAAAAAGACTAAAGTGTCTACAGTATCCCCCTGCAATAACTATTCATCAAAGACAGTCGTGGATTTTATCAATATCATTGCATAGGGTATTGATTGAAAAGTTTCAAGAAAGAGGACATTGAACTTAGAAAAGCCATTCCACCTACTTTGTTTGTTATCATACAACAGTGCCAGCTACCCCAATACCCATATTTCAACAAATCTGACAATAAACTTTTGAAATAGCATATACCACTATTAGTGTAACAAATGATATTCAAAACATTATTATGAACTGATAAAGGGCAAATTTGGGAGGAAGCAAATAATATAATGAGTAAAATATAATTAATTGTCAGTGAGTCATACATTGCCAGGCATACATATATACATATATACAAATCAATGTTTCGTGTTGATTTAATCCATAATTGTTGTTTTATCGTTCTATTATCATGATTTTGTAGATGGTATTCCATAATTGTTCTTTGGCTGTTAAATAATTTCTGAAGTGATCTGAGTGTCTTCAGCACTTCAGAGTAGGTGTTCGTTAATGTTTGTTAATCAAATAAACATTTTCTAGGCAATCTTTAAAATTCTAATGTGACACCATTCCTAGTTGTAATATATATTACTTCTACAGAGTTATTATACCTAATATGGTATAATAATCCCCTTTTAATGACCAAATAACAAGTTTCGTAGTAATTTTATAGCAGTTTTTTGCAGTGCGAAAGACCAGTATAGTGGTTCACACTTAGTGCTATTAGAGGGGGAATTTTCATCTAGGTTCCCCTCATAGGTGGGGAAGCATCTCACTCCAAGGATCCTCAGACAGCTAAGACTAGTGTAACAGCCCCTTTATAAAGATTTTGCTACAAAGTATATATTATGATATTTGAAATACAAATTATACAAACAGTGCAACAAGAAGTGGGTAAAAAGTAATCTTTGTGGGGCTGTTCAGCAGCATGTTTGTTCACGTTTACCATATTTTTTTTTACAAATGGTACCATGTACCTTGTTAGCTGACGCAATGATAACAAAATGGGTATATTTATTTCAGATTTACTGCAATAGTAATCATACATCATTATTACATTGGATTGTTATTATAAGGTCTTAAAATGGAAATATTAGTTTACTTAAATAATAACTTAAATGTGGCAACAGTGAGAGATAAAATCAGTAAGGATAGTCTTTGGATAGTATCATAGACAGTCTTTAACAATCTTTGAGTCAAAGACTGTTTATAGGACGTTCTTTAAATTTATTGAAGAAAATTCTATGACCTTTCATAAATGCTGCCCCAGAATGGTGAAGTTTTACATCAAAACAAGATTTACTTTGAATAAAAGTATACTGATTAGTGAATGAATGGCCAAAGAAAAAAGAACTCAACACTATCAAATATAATATTAGGTAGATAAAGGTTTTAAGTAAAAAAGAAATTGTCTTTGCCAAATTCCTGTTTACTTATTGAGCAGTCTTTTACACCAAAGCATAAATACCTCAATTTCAAGGTTTCCATTTCAGATGTGCGACCTCTCTATGACCAACCTTTAGAGATGAGTGGTAAGAGAGACCGTAAAAAGGTGAGAGG